TTTTCGGCTGGATGATATAATTATGTAAGTTGACTTTCTCATATGGAGGTATTTAAAGCTTATGCTTTATTGTAAGGCTAAGCGTATTATGGTAAATGACTTCTTGGAATAATTATATCTCTTATGAATCATCTAAACATTCAAAATTAAATGTCAACATAACCTCAAAATCATCCAAAACATCGACAGTAATATTCCCAATACCTGGAACCTCTACGACGATTTTTATAATCGCAGGCGGACAACTTATGTCAAAGATATTGAAGCAGTTAGAGATTTAAAATTACACAACATGAGATTTTCAATTCAAATGGCTCTCAATATGAACGCACACACGAAAGCATGAATTTATTTTGAATACTTTTATGTTATTAAAGTCTTTTATTTTTGATGTGGCTATTCTATTGCCGCCGCGTGCCGCTTAAGTAAATTCCATTAAAAAGGCTCGTGTGTGCGATCATGATACGAGATTTTTTTGATTCCTCACCCATGACTATTCATGCTTCAAAAAGCTTGTGTAATCTTAAATCATCTGACTAGCTAGATCCGTAATTAGAAGCAAATAAATGAGGATCACGCCTGACTCATTAATACAGCACTTAAACTCAATTAATCGATCAATTTTTTTTACGGTATGATGCATTGGCAATTATTTTTCATTTGGATGTAATTGGCAGAAGCTCAATTATAGACACATCATCATACTGTAGAGGTGTTAATCTGCCAATTTTTTTTATTATAAGCGAAAATAATTGAACAGTATTTTTATAATTGCATAAAAAAGTTTAAGTTATTGTTTTTTTTGTAAGACTTGTGTGAAGTTCAGTCTGAAAATTTATAGGTTGAGTCGTTGATTGTGTCCAACTCTGGTTACGCCTCAATATTGGAATATCCAGTTGATAAGAGCGTTTGCTAAGCTACTGGTCCTTTGCTTCCCATGTGCTCTTGATTAATATGATTCGTCAACATTTGGTTTCTTGACAACACTTTTCAAGTTTTATCACTTTTTGCTATAAACCTCAAACTCACCTTAAGTCATTTTATAAGCAAAAATTAAATCCTTTTGTCTATCCCAATCAGAATATATTAAGTTCGTAGATTGTCAGAAAAACAGCTTAAAATTGCCAATTTATTATAAATAATAAAAATTATGTCTATTTTATTCACGAAATATAATCAGGCAGTCGCGAGTTTATTGCATCATAAATGCATGAAGAATATATCAAAAATTCTGTTGACAGCTACTTGAAACGTGATCCACAGAAATCAAAATTTTTAATAACTTTGAAGGATTTTTTTAATAATCAATATTATTTTATTTTATTAAAATTGCTTCCACGTTTTTGACTTTTGATGAGTTTTATGTCAAGAAACCTTTTGTTTGCAGAATATGAAAAAAAATCATAATTAATTTAGGGGTCGTTCACTTATGACGTCCGAATTTAACGGTCATTTTTCATAAAAGAACAATTGATTTCCAGAAATTTCAATTATTATTTTTTTGCTGACCCCCCCCCTTGGACCTCATAAGTGAACGGCCCCTTATCATAAAAATTATGCAAATTCACACCAAGATCTGATAAATTTCCAATCAGCACTTCAACTTTTTTTATTTGGATAACAAATCTTTCAGACTAACTTCACACAAGTAATGTGATATTGTGAAACTAATGTGCAAGTAATAAAAAAAAATATTATTTCTTTTTTTTCACATCACCGACTGTTTTAAAGTTGCAATTAACATTTGGATGTAAAAAATGTTTTTTGATGCACATTTTAACGCATTTTTCGTTGGATATTTGAGTTTATAGCTTTTTCAGTTGAATATTTGACAAACTTTTTTGAATAATAATCCGTTCCAAATTTGAAAAAAAGACCGTTAAAAAAATCAAACAAGAAATGCGCTAAAATCCTCAATTAAAAGAAATTTACACCCAGTTTTTTTGTGTCATAAATTAATAAGTTAATTAAGTGCCGCTGAATTACAAATATTTAAATACATTTTTATAATCCAACATTTATCGAACATTAAAGCTAATTTTACGATTTTTCCTCTTCTCTCTCTCTTTTTTTTATTGAACCATCTAGGTCTATACATTCGGACTCATATGGCAACAATAATTATAATTGTTGCAATTGTCGATCGTATTAAGCAAGTGATCCTTTCCATTTATTTAAATATTAAGCACAGGTGGTAGCGCAGCAATCAATTTTTTGTCCGTGCCCTTCTTCAAACAAACAATAAAATAATAATTATTTAATAAATATTAAGTGACTTCGACATCTTCTTACAACTTTTTTTTTGAAATGCCAATTAAGTATTACATCGCTATGAGATCATCACCATCCATTCAGAAACTTAACAATTTATGTTTTGATGTGCCTGCCCATCTCATCGCTCACTAATGTAAAACTTTTTATTCCTATTCATGAATGAATGGATAAATGGATAGATCCAAACCACCGTGATCATCTTCATTTGCGAAGCGTTTAATTCTCCTTTACGAATTAATTAAGTATTTTATATTATTTTTTTTTGCATAAATTTTACTTGATAATATCTCTCTATTAATTAATTTTTAATGTTAATTAAAGTAATTTATAAAGTATGTCCTACCCAATTTTAATTATTATTTTTTTTTGTGAGACGAAACAAAATTTTATTTGTAATTTTTTTAAAATGTGAAATTTGTTGAATATAAAAAAAAATTAAATTTCTAAATTTTTAAACAAAAGTTTCTCATAAATTTTAAGACAAAATCAAATGAAGCGAATTGCTGATACTAATTTTTAAGTAAGGGGGTCTTATTCACTTATGGTGCCACTTATGAAAAAATAGATTATTTTTAAAAATTGCAATTATTGAAAATCCATTGTTTAAATCTGTAAACTACACTCTCCCCAATGTACGTCATAAGTGAATGAGCCTTAAGGTTGTTTCAAGACTTGTTCTCATTGTTTTTAGGAATTTTTTCGGTACTAAATAGGTTTTAAGGGTGTGTTTAGGCTAGGTTCACTCGATTTTTGGGTCTCGCACATTTTATCATGAACGAATGTACCTAGTTTGAGGTTCAAATCAATTCTCCTAAAAAATTTGAGATAAAAATTCCAAAAAATTGACCTCATATTTCAAAACCTCCAGCTACACCAAAAATTACTAGCTACAGACTTAGTTGAGCCTCCAAAAAACACCAATAAATCAAAAGAATCTCTAAATGTGCATTGAAAAGTGAGCATAAATCAAATTCAATTTCTCAAAAAGTCGATTTTAATTTAAATTGAAAAATACATTTTAAAAAATTCCTAGAATTTGAGAAGAATTCTTGAAACGACCAAACATTCCGACCCAGTTTTTATTTTTAAAATCCTCAACATAAAGAAAAGAAGACAGAAAAAAATTAATGTTTTAAAAATAATTTAAATCATTTTTATTTTATTTTATTCATAAACACATTCGACATTATTGTGAGTCGTTATCTCACAGATTCTCGCACTCACTTCCTCAGCTACAGCTTAAATATCATAATTGATGACTTTCATTACACGAAAAATATATATTTTTTTATATTCTCCTTTCAATGGAATATAAACAGACATTATGGTTAATTTGTTAATATTTTTCAATCTTCCTCTCTTTTTTCAACTCCGATGTTTACACATTCAATGAATTTCTTTTCATTTATATGAATTTTTTTTTACTTCATTTCGTATATTTCTTTTATTTCTCGCCATCATCATTCGCGTTAAAACATAAATTATACAGAAACAATAAGGAACAGCACTACTCCCCTTGAGATGAAACTTTTTGGGTTGTGGGAAATTTTTGAAGGTAATTTTGGAACAAGGATTTGAACTTTTATATGAATTTTGGAACTGTCAACATGATCATGATGAAATCAACTCAGAAATAACAGACTTAGTTTTTGGATTTTTAGACTAAAGCACATACTCAGATCTTAGGAACGGTATGCTACATAGTAAAAATAAGAGATATCTTTGAATGGGATTTGAACCCATGCTCTCTGATCATTTTTTTTGAAATTTATTCTACTTCAGGGTACGAAATTGTATCTTAAGTATCTGACAGTTTGCAGATTTAAGCTACTTTAGTAGTTTTATTCTATTTATTAGCTACTCAATTTTCAAATACACTGTACAGAATAGAAAAGTATGAGTTTGAACTTAAATCCATCTAAAACCCAAAAAATTCATTTCAAGGGTCAATTTCTCAAGCAATTTTTCTCTCAATTCCTTTCCTATCCTCAAATTCAGCTCACTCATCTCTTTTGACTTTAATATTAAAGCTAAAAATAACAACAACATAATCAATATCCATAACAAAAGAAAGAAGAGACAATAAGGATTTTTAAATCTCATCCATTTATTTCACATTCACAATCGCAACAATAAATTTTACATTCTCGTGTGGTATTGTGAGACACTCGTCACTCTTGTGCGCCTCAAAAAATGATTCATCCACACAAATATTATGGGAAAGTGATGAATATGAGAATTGACTGAGGAGGTTTGAATGATTTTGGGTCATTTTTTAAAGTGCGACTCATTTTGTGGTTTTCAAAATTGAATTTGAGACTGAATTAGAATGAATATGAGGCATAGATGAAGCATGAGCAAAACAAAAGGAAAGAAGACAGTCTTTGTGGTCTGCAAAGCGCACTTTATGGGTTTTGAAAGAGAATCAAATTGAATTAGACACATTTCGAGAGACACTAAAGAAAAATTCAAATTTTGTGGTTGGATGAGCGCGATTTTTTATGAGAGAAATACTTGAATTAAAGCTTAATTATTTATAATGAGCAAAACGACATCAATTCATGATTATTATCATAATCAATACAATTTGACTTGAAAGATTGATTATAAAAATTTCCAATCCCACGAAAACCGTGCTCAACCTAATCTATAACTTCGTGTGAATTCACGACCAAAGAAACAAAAATTAAATCTTCTCGATAACAAAAAAAAAACCCCAAAAACAGAAAAGAGAGTAAGAAACAGACATTAAATGAAGATAAAAACACATACGAGACGCAATATATACAAGCATCGTGTGGTGTGAGAGTAAATTACGATAAAGTTATAAAGGTGCTATTTGGCGCTTTCGTCACAACAGAAACAACACAAGACACAACAAAAAGTCTTGTTTACTTTAAAGAAATTGATGATGATTGTGATTGTTCTTTCTCATGTCCACCAAAATAAAAATAAATAAATAAAATTTGGGAAAGAAGAAGATTTAAATGGAAATAATGTCAATAATGAAGGAATGAGTTAAGAGTATGAGAAATGATGTGAGAGGGTTGGAGGCGCATTTGAGATTTGATGCTGCTATTAATATTCAGATTGCAATAATAAGGATTTTTTTTTTGATATTTAAGTCACAGGATGAGACTAAGACAAGCAAAGGTTAGTTTTACTTATAGCAAGTTGCCTTTTTGGTAGCTAGCTTTTAATTTGGATTAAAGAGTTACACATCTTGTCAATAATAATTCTACATTCATTCTGAGAGATCCAAGCTTAATGCTGAACTAGTCTAAGTCTTATCTTGAACTTATAATAGAACTGCAACTTAGGACCCGCCTTTCTGCTCACCATCAACACTGCTGGGCCTTACCATTTGCTAAACAGCAAGCAATCTTTCCTTAAACAGCTCTTTTAACTCCTCAATTCAAAAACCCCAACGAGATCATTGACAGCAAGTCAATATATCCACAATATTAAGACAAACCGAACACCATATCGCACCATAGTCATTAAAAATTAATGTCGCGTTAAAATAAGAAGTAAGAAGAAATTCTTTGATGGTGGTTTATTAGCGGAACAATAAAAAAATTATTACTTTTTCGATAAAACATTATAAAATATGTAAATGAATAAGTTTCTTTATAGAAAGAAGAGAAAGAATGACCAGAAGACAAGGGAAATAAAATAAAATAAAGGAGATACTTCTGAGTTTCATTCTCTCTCTTTTATTTATTATGGAACATCCACGCACTCCTCAAATTGAGATAAACATTTCCATATTCTTGTATACAATCATCCACTCATACCTTCTGTGTGATAATAATTTCACTGATATCATTCCATTTACGAATATAAAAAAAATATATTGAATATCAAATTTCAATTCTTGAGATCGGTGTGTGTCTTTTGTTGGATGAGGGGAAGCAATTTATTATTTTTTTGGTGGAACTGCTGTTAAATTCTAAAAATGTCCATTAAGATTGTGAAATTCCAATTGAATCATTCACTTTTGCCCGAGTAGTCATGCTTTCCAAGTGCTGTAATAGGACTGCTTGGTTATCGCTACGAGTCTGTGTCAATTCCCAACAAATACAGATCCTTGACTGCACCATGATGATTAGAACTATTTACTCGGGTTGATTCTTTCATTCCTAACCATCTCTCACTCAAAATGTTAAACAGAACATCCTCAAGGCAAGCAGAACACTTAAATGTCTCATTCCTAAATGCTTTATCCATAAAAATGACTTTAAATCATTCATCATTCAAATCTCAATTAAATTCCTCAGAAAGATCCCCAAAATAAAATATTTCTCAGCAATAGATTCATCTCTTAAAAAATCCATCCAACTCTTTCTGAAAGAACAATTAAGTACAAACTTTTTGATCTTTCTTGACGAAAACAACACAAAAATGAAGCAACAGAAAAAAAAATCTGATAGCGAAACATGAAAAATTGCGAAAATTGTTTTCTGAGAAATTGAGCAGCATAAAAATGCAGCATTTTTAACTTGACATCATAATTTGTCTGTGGATATCGTTCCTTGGTCCTTCAAGAAATGAGGTTCCCTTGGGATGATTTGTTGTTGCTTGAAATTTTACGGGTTATGTTGAGGTTCTTGTAGATTTTGAAGATCGAAATATCTTAAAGTTTTACTGTAGTAAGATTCAGGAGTACTTGGTCAATATGACAAGGGAGGTCGTGGATCACAATTGATCTGTACGGCCAGTGAAGTAAGTAAGTAAGTAGTCCATGTGACTTAGCGTTAGATAAAGTTTCAATACAGATATTGGTTAATAAAGGTCACATTTAATACATGTCTGTAATTGAAGGAGTCCAAACTTGATCCAGTATTATTTTCTAAGTAAGGAGGAAGGAAGGAAGTAGTTTATAGTCGAATATATCGAAAGTATTGGAACGGTTGGTTCTAAACCATACCAAACTGACATATCATTGTCTTTAAACTTCTAAACATCTGGATCAGTCCTTGCACACACATAACCCCATCCCAGAGTATTAAATCAACGTATGCAGCAAAAACTGAATCTGCAGAACTCATCCCAAGGGAAGAAATAAGCAAAAAATGAAAGGAATTCACATAAAAATCTCTCACTTTTCTGTCTTTATATCCACTTAACAAGAAAACTACAACAATAATAATAATGATAATAATAATAATAATTTTATATAACATAAGATAATTTCATTTGCATTTTATTTTAATTTCACGTATAGGTCATAAGATGATGATGATGAAGATGAAAAAGAAATGAAATGAAAAAAAAGAGAGAAGGTTAAGATTTATAAATATTATTTGCATATACATACATTTTAATGGTAGTAAATGAAGAAAAAAAAAACTTTTATCATGATAAAAAAATGAGCAAAAAAATGAAAAATGACTATTAAATTTAAGCCGTGCTTAGAATAGATTCTAGTCTACCGTATTTAATCATTATTTTATAAAAAAAAAGATATCAAAAAATTATTAAAATTATGGACAAAAAAATTATTCTTTTGATTTTTAAAAAAAATATAGATGGCAATCAATTAATTTTTTTCTTTAATTTTTGAAGACTTTCTGCTTAAGCATTTTTGATTATATGAAAATTGATTGGGGAATGTAGAGAATTTTGGCTTAAGTTGATAAAAATTTTATTTAAAAGTGAGGTTATGTGGAGTTTTAATGAGCTCTATGAATTTTTTACTATGTTGTTTATAAGGACATGCTTAAGATGCACAATTTGGTAACGCTAGGTATCCTAAATGCCAAAATAATCCTATTTAAACGATTACAACTTACATTTTATCCAAAGGTATTGCTAGAGATTCCAACTAAGGGGTCTTCATGAACTCCTAGACAGCATATAAACCTAAGACACCTAACTGGACATCACTAGAATCCAACTTAATAGCATGCAACTTAGAAAAATGCTTAACATTCAATTTGAAGTTAAAATCTAGAGATCAACTGCAACATAACCTCAAAAAAAACATCAAAAGCCACCAAAATTCCATCACATCTCCCCCATCATTAACAACATTTTCTTGTAATATAGCTCTCATTATTCCCATTCCAATTTATATTTTGACAATAAAATTATTTTAATACATTTATGTAGATTCCTTCTCATCCATAGTAGATTTTAAAATATTTTTTGCTTGAATATTTTTTCTTTCTTAAATATATAAATATAAATATATTTTATTCGGATATAGACAGAGAAGGATAATGAAATAAATAATAAAGAGAACAGAAAAACGTAAAAAAGTAAAAAAGAAACGAAAAAAAGTGTTTTTCATTCATGAATTTTATTTTCTTCATTTTTCAGCGAATTGATTGTGGACCTCAAACTGTTTCGACTTCCTTTTTAATCATATTTAATAAAATTTTCAGTATTTCATCGAGAGTTGAAATTCTTAGGAATTGATGCGAGTTGGTGGATTTTGTAATGGAAGTTGGGTATCAAGTTTTATGGATGGCTATTTTGGAGACGCATTTTAAGTTGTGTCATCCAAAGTCATCATAAAAGCACACGCTAGTCTTATCAGGCGAGCTTTTTCAGGTTGGTTGTTAAGAAAGCTTTTCAGATGTCGCTTTGTTGATGTTTGCATATCCAAAATGTTAATGAACTTGGTATTCAGACAATTTTCTCAATTAGATTGTTTATATCCACAAATCAAACATTCTAACCTCAAAAATTGCAATTTATGCTCAAATGCAACCATAGATCCCCACAAAAAAAGCTAACATCCCCAAACAAACATGATCAAGTGATTTAACCTCACGATCTTATAGATCCAAACATCTACACAAGAAGAAGCTCAGTTAAAGAAAAATTAAATGTCAGGAAGAGAATCATATGCTAAAAATATTTATATCCAAATAATAATCATCAAAAGCACGAGTTTGCAGAAAGAAGGCAACAAACATTTTTGATAAAGGAACGATCGCATTTCGCCAAAGAATTTCAATTTCATTTGCCATGCGCGAGCGCATAAACATAAAGCAAAAGCATTCTTATTTTCAGCCTCAAATTTCTCAATTCTCAATTTTTTCAGGTTGTGTGTGCGAAGTAAGCGATCGAGTCGAGCACAAAAAAAAATTATGAATTTGATTTGTGAAAAGCACCCCTGCTGTGACACATGATTCCTGAGAATCTTCTTTCTTTTTTTGCTTTTTGTATTTGCTAAATTACTAAATTTTCTCATTCTTTTTAGAGGTTTTTAAAATGTATATCCGCGATTGTGGGTCTGTTTGTGGTCTTGTTTCTATGAATTTCACAAGTTTTTGAAATGATTTGTTTAAGAATGTTCGTTGGACCTTTGAGTTTTGATGTTTACAGGTTAAAACAGCATGAATTCTAGGGATAGGTAAGGTTGATCTTACGAAATGTCCTTGTCCTTAGTTATTTGTATAGATTAGAAGTGGAGAATGGGTTTTATTAGGTGTCTACTAAGTGTAGCTGCTTTTGTCACTGGTTCTTTGACTTAAGATGCTTGCAAATCTTGCCAGCTACCTTGTCACTGTCAACTTTGTAAAACTATCAGCCACATGAGTTTCATGACCTTTCCGAAATCCCCATAAATTCCACAAGAACCCCCAAAAAGTCTCCCATTCCACACAATTATTTGTAGATTTTATTTACCATAAAGGAGAGTAAAGGCAAAAAATTCCTTTGCTCTGCTTTTATGCCCTCAGGTCATCATCATTATCATCATGTGAGAAATATGCTGCTTATGAAAAAAAAACTGATTTTTATTTCTACCATTTCAATTTTTCAGGTGAATAAACGAATGCTCAATAACAGCAACAACAAGACTCATTAAGTGAAGCTGACGTGCGAGTGAAATATGGACGAATGAAAATACCATAAATTAATATCATGAATGCGTTCCCTATAATTATCATTAAAGGAGGCTAGTTGAACCCTCGTGTGTTTTTTTTTTCGGTTTC